ATATGGTCTCCTATTTAGGCGCGCGCGTGGCACGCGAACAAATATACGGGATGCAGGCAGAAATATATGCCGCGTATACGTATGCATATGCATTTTCCACGCTGACGTCGAATATGAAATTTTTCGCAATCCGACCGTCCCCGCTTCCCGCTAATCGTTTTCTCTCCGCCCTCGCAAAAATTATGCGTTATTGTTGGCGGACCTCCACGATCGCGTAAACAGGAGCAATCGTCGGCGCAAGAACGCTCAATGAGAGCCCTTTGTTCCATATTACGCGCACGCGCGAAAATTTAATTAACGGTGCAAAAATACGCGCTTGTGCGAGGATGACTCATTGTTATGTCGGTGGAAAATATTGTTTCTCCGAGATATAACATAAAAATAAAATCAGCGGACTAATAATGTATGACGAAAAGGAAAACCGAAAAATTACACAAATAGATTTAATTCTGTAAGTGCTTTGTTGCATCGCCATATCGACAACGTAAAGACCAGAGTACAGACAATTACATAACGCATAATATAGAAAATATAGAAAATCAACCAATCGGAGTCCTTTTTATAGGAAGGAAGGAAATGAAGGACTTTGATTAATTAATTTTCTTATGCATTGTGCACATTATGCAAGACCCTCCCGTTCTAATGCACTCTTATATAGATAACGGAACTCGATAAAAATAAAATTAAAGTGCCTAATGCGAGTGTCCAATGCGAAAATAATCCATTGTGCCTTGCGTAGCCAATTTGTTCGTTCACGGTCGTACAACTGATCGCGACGATAGTCGTAAAGGCGAAGGGGGAGAAAAGCCGCTTTTACGGAGACCACATTGATGGCAACAACTTTAACGACATCCAATGTCCGACGAATAACCAGCTGGGCTATCGCGGACTTTCCTTTTCTCCTTTGCCGCGCAAGAACACCAGATAGGTCTCACACGCACGCGATAAATCGTCGACTCGTAAAACGACGTTTCTCTATTCGGTTAGGGGGAGTTTCAAGGAAATTAAATGCGCTCGAAAGGGTTCATCAAAATGACGCGCGACGAAATTAACTCCCTAGATAAAATACAGACGTATTTCAGCTGAAATTAACTTAGGTCGAATGATGGGACTATTGATCATCTCCTGACAATCTCAATTGAAATAACATATTTATGAGCATAGACACTAATTAAAAAACATAAAATAAATTATAGAAACGTTTTTTTAAATACTTAATACTGTTGAAAATATTGCACGAAATTAATCGGGAATAGAAAAATGACGTAGTATCTAATAATTTGCGACAATTATTATAGACATACAAAAAATGTATCAATGATAAATAATATTTTTTAATTTAAAATTATCAATTTTTTAAATACAATCAGTTTTACTTATGTTTCACAAAAGTTCCAAGAGATATAACTTTATACATATAAAGAATTAAGTTACACTTTATTATTAATGAGAATTGAAAAATTCCAATTTGTGTATTCTGCTGCTGTTATTAGCAATTTAAATATTTACTTCACCAATTTTCACCGGAAACAGTTACATTATAGGGAGCCAGTTGCGTATCTAAGTTGATTAAGTTGCGCTAAGGTTGCTTTCTTGATTCTAGGTGAGGCTAGCGGAACATTGGGGTGCCACCGAAGTTCCGCAGCCCTATGGAAATACGCATAAGCTGCAACCCGCGAGTACTCCCAGCGGTGGTAACATCGGCACACTCCATACCCGAGCGGAGTAAACTTCTCTGATTTCCCCGCTTGTGAAGTAATTATCATCCCCGCGCGCGCGCGCGCGTGCTTATCGCGACGATGTACATCGTTGGCGGGTACTTGAACGTGTAATAATGGAAATTTCAGCGACCACACGCGTTTGCGGAAACCGGCGCACTCGATCAAACTTCGTGCAACTTTGTTGCATGTCACGGTGAAACTCGCAATCTCTAGGGCTACGACGTGATTTTCTCGTTTTTCGCTATGAAAATCTTTGCCAATCGCGCGGAAATGCCTGGAATATTTGCCACGAGTCATTTCGTTTGGCGCTCGCTCAAATGGCAGGAATATCAATGCTCGAAGATAAGACAAAATTAGATGTTTATTTCTCGAAAAGATATTGGTTGTGATTTGTAAAATTTATCCTGCCGTCATTTGTGAACATATTTAAATAAGTGAAAAATAAGTTGACAATCGAGGACAGATCTTGCATATAGTATCTAATTTTTGTATGTCAATTTTAAATATATATTCTATTTATACAAACTGACGCCGCTTACTGTCGGACTTTTAGAACGCAATTATAAACTGAAATAATAATATCACAATTATAAATTAATCATCGATTTAATAATAATGCTACAGACATCTTAAATTATATATTTAACTTCAATAAAAATTATAATCGGGTCTCTTTTATATAATTCCCCGTCACCTTATAATTAAAATATCAATAATTATTAAATTTATTATTTACAGTTATAATATCTTTAACGTTCAAAAATTGCGGTTTTTTACTTAACTCAAAATAAGTAATATTTCTATCAGAAAATATTTTCACTTCTTTAAAAGAATTATTATAATTATCACATACGGTTGTCACATACACATACATATGCAATAAATATTGCCTTTAAAGAAGCGTTTTATTGCTCTAAATTTTAATTGCATCATCACTAAGAAACAAATCGCATTAAAACGGGATAGAGGTCGCTAATTTCCTTGAGCGATCGCGCGGAAATCCACACGAATGTGTGATATCCATTCGAGGATCCATTCGTCACCGAGCCGACGTCTCTGTGGATTCAACCGCAGATGTAGGCCGCGTAGTAACACGCGGATATGCGCGTGAAACGCAGTCGGAGTGAATCCTCGTCGGCCACAGATACGATACTCGGATTCCAACTGCAGTGGGAGGCCAGAACAGGAGAACGGAGAGAGGAGGTGTGACAGGTGCGTCGTGATACGCGTAGCCAGAAGCTGCGCGCAGAATATGTCACACGCCTAAATCGAGATCGCTGCGCGAACTCTAGCCAAACGGTCGAACGATCTTGAACCTCTTTTTGGAAAGCCTGTGCGGTATTTTATTTGGCCAAACGCAGAACAGTGTTGGCCCGGGCCAGATATAGAAGTTCGAAGCGCGGAACACGAATGCGAAATCGCCTCTGCAATCGAGCCTCTCTATGCGACGCGACGCGGACCACGGAAATAATGCAGACTGCAAATAAAGCGAAATCCGGCTGTACACGCATGCCTTTCGTTTTCGATTGAGGATTGATGGATTTTTTTTCTCTCGGACCGCTTGTGAAACCGAAGTGAAACTGATCGCTGTTATGAAATGAAGACTGAGCTTCAGCAGAGCAGTGACTGCAACGCGATCGAACTAATATTTATAAAACGCATAATTATTTGTGTTTCTCTCGGACTTCAATGATAATGATTTATTATGCTATCTGTCTGTGAATCTTACAATTTGTATACGTATCAAATGCTGCTGCGTGAGCGTTGCAACTGCAATGCACGTAAAGGAAACGTAAACACGCGGGCCGTCCGCAGCGTTGCGAGTTTAAAAATGGAACGTACAAATATTTCCATTATTCGAGTTTGGAACAGTACCAAAGATTGATTGGATCGTTGTTAATAAATGCGCGACAGAGTCGAAGGTAAACGCTTGGAGAATTGGGCGCAACTGTCCCCCGGTCATTCATAAGTTTATGGTGCATGAAACGCGCAGCGGGAATTTACATAGCGTGCGTACCTTTCCGCATCTTTTATAACCATAAGTCAGCTGCGACATTTACGACACTTTAAGGCATAAAATTGCAGAGGCCATTAAAAAAAAGGGTGACTACTGTTGCGAATTGCACGCACGAGAAAGCGATTCGCTGACGGACTGATCTTGACCATTGTGATTTTATCTTTTGCACAGGAAATATCTGAATAAACTCAGAAGTTGATTGTCAATAGTTACCTTAAATAATGTAAAAACAATCGTATTTGAATGTGGAGAGACAAAAAAAAATCTCTCTCTCTCATACAATACAAATATATATATTTAAACTTGAAAATCCAATCTTCTGCATCAAATCCCCACAATTAAGTTAAAATTAATGTTAACTAAAATGAGATTAAATTTAAGATTATTAGCCCGCTGTTCTTCGGTAAAGATTACAATAAAAATTATTATCATTCAATATCCCAAAGAGAGGAATTTGTTAGTATTTACTACTTCTGTATGCTTATTTAATTGTCTATATTTAATAAATCTTTCGTTATTTACACCTTATTATTCCAACTTCTTATTTACTTCACTGCACAGTCAACTTCATTAGTGTAAAACAAAGCTTTAAAAATAAATAGTAGAAAACACCGCACGCTGATCTCAATATCACCCTGCTCCACTTTATCTTCATTTTTCTCAATTTTCGTTCTTACATATATTTTCCAATTATCAATTGACTCTCGCCGCCTGTCACCGAATTGATCAACACACTACGATAATATCTGTAAGTCTGACCTAAGTAACCGATCCTGTTCAGAAATGAGTCGCTCAACTCGGAGAGGCCAAGCTAAGCGTCCATAACGGAAACCGGCATGTGCGTTGAAAGTCGCGGGAGGAAAAGCGGTACGAGAAGACGGTAGTGGAAGAAGAGAGAGAACGAGAAGGAAAACGGCATTTCTAGGGTAATTTTAGATCGGTAAGATAGCGCCTGCGGTTCACAAGAGAGAAAAAGACGGAGAGCCGGCTGGGCGCGAAGAAGAAGGAGGACGGAACGAGACCAAGAAGTGAGAAAGAGAGAGAGAGAGAGAGAGAGAGAGAAAGATCTCGAGGTGGGAGAGCAGCATCGCCGGAAAATAGCGGGAGAGAGAAAAAGAGAAAATTGAGACGGGTCACGGAGCGTTTACGAAAGCGAGAATGAGAGATAAAGGGGGGAAGGGAAAAACGTGAGAAAGAGAGTGAGAGTGCGCCACGGAGGAAATTTTGGACAACACCGAGTGAGAGAGAGAACGGAGAAGGAAACGAGGCGGAGGACTGAGGAGGAAGAGAGAAAGACGGAGAGGAGTTGAGAAGGAGGTAGACTTCGGGTGCGAACGGTCTACTCTAACGCAGTAATGCCGACCAGCTCCAACCGGGTGCCGCCAAATCGAACCCTGGTTCGAATTCCGCACGGCCGTGGCCGCGGAAAGAAACAAAAGAAGGAGGAAGAGGAGGAGGAGGAGGAGGAGGACGAGGAGGAGGACAGGAAGAGGAGGAGAGGATAACGATAACGAAGACAACGGCAACGACGACGACGACGACGACGACGGGGAACGTGAATAAAAAGAAGTCACGACAGTGGAAGAGGAAGAAGAAGAAAAAGGTACGTGCCAAAGAAACTTCCTGTCTTCTCGTACGGGGTGTAAAGAAAAGCGAGGGGTCAAACTTGATTTGACGTGACATAGCGAAGCTTAGGGAGAAAAGGGGTGGAAACGAGAGAAGATAGGAGAGAAGCTTTTACGTCCGGAAAAGGAAGAAGCCAATGATGACAGCCAGATGGGCTGACGTTTCGGTCGTCTGGTTGAAAAAGTGTGTCTAAATGTGCCCTTACTAACCCGATGGTTGCTGAGAAAGTAATATTACAGTTATCGCGGTGCATTTTTGTGATTTTTGTGATTTTTGTGATCTCTGTTTACTGAAATCTAATAACGCGATGACACATATTAGATTGTTGATGTCTGCTTTCGTCGCTTTATCCTTAGCATAAGACTCCTTTCTAAAAATAGGGCAAATGAAAAGGAGGAATCTATTAAATTAATATTAATATCGATTAAACTAACCTCAATGCGCCTTACTGTGATTAATGCAACAAACAGCACTTATAAATGCTTTGAAATATTGGGATCACGGTAATTAGCATGTATCTATGATAAATAAACAAGAGCTTATTAATAAAACTAGATAAACCATAAAGCGCACGATTTTCATTCTAAAATATTTTAATCAAGAAAAGCGGGTTATTCACAACGACGCGTCCGGTCATTTATTTTTCCCCGTGCGTGGATATTTCTCACATGTCCGGCACATTCCTTGCAAAAAAAATCAGCATAGAAAAAGTGGAAGTCGAGAAATGTGAAGTTCGAAGAAATTGGAAAAGCGACGGTCCCTCCCGGACACACCAAGAATGCTCGCTCTGAAGAATGTTTCCCGCTGCATCGTCTTCTGCAGTTTTCACGACGTCGTCGTCGCGGTTTTACGATGTTCTATTAGAATCGAAGGGCGCGTTTTACTCGTCCCGCGTTGCTACGGGCATAAGAAGAAGACGGACGAGGTGAGGCAATAAAGCGGACGGAACCGAGAAAACTCAAGGTTATCTCGGCGTAAAGAGAAAGAAAAATAACCGATCTTCCGATCTCTCGTTCTGTTCCGGAAACGTGCTCGAAGATACCCGCGGACATAAAGAATTTCTACGGTAGAAATGAAAGGGAAAGAGAAAATAACGACATGAACAAGAGATGAAATCACGTTACAGACTGATTCTGAAAAATTGAAAATGTCTGCGCCAGTTATACGGTGTCCCAGAAGATATTGTTTAACTGCTAACTTCACGGTTTTCTGTGACAGGAAGTTACAACCGGAAAAGCACTATTTTACAATTTCATTAAAACTATATATAACACATTCAAAACTGTATCAATCCAAAAAAGGACCTTAATATAGTGCTTGCAAAATATTTAAAAAAAATTAAAAAGTCATAAAATTAATTGATTACTTTATTATTTTCTTAAAAAAAAAAAGACAATTTTTTCTGACACCTACATCCCGTCAACTGTTTGAAGATTGTCAGAAGCACTCGCTAAAACTTTTCGCCGTTTTCTCTCGCCGCTATATATATCCAGATGTTTACATTGCCGGCGCAATGGAGGCTTTGGTTGGGAGTGCGGACGCGCGTTTTTCTTTTGTTCTGTTCGGGATTACCATCTGCCTATCGCGAACGCAGTTTATTCGGGAATTTGTCGCTGGGGAGTAATTTTCCCCCCTTTGCGATAATCCTTGAAATAACGTAGCAAAATAATGCGTCATGAAAGCAAATATTACAATCTCGTAATATTACCACGTTCATAATTTATATTACCACGCTTTTAATTTATGAAAATCGAAATTTTCTCCCTCGGCATATTATTTCCTATATATTTTCACAATCGACTCAACATTCGATCTCATTCTCTTGAGGTTGTTTTTGTTTTTTCTCGAAAGAGAAGTCCAGAGCGTAAAATCTAAATGCGCGGGAGGAAACGCGAGGAGTGGTGTACCATATATTGCGAACTGTGTGTGAAGACGAACACGTGGAATAAAGATAGATACCGTAAAGGAAAGGACCTCGCGAACCGCGTCAAATTGCGCGTGCATTTATCAACTGCCGTCCTGCGTGGAGGTGGACATTGAGACATTCGGTCGAGAAAACCGGGACAGTAACAGCACGTCTCCCGTAAAAATACCTTCTCTTCGCCGTTCGCTGCCTTTTATTGCCCGACCCTTTTATTGCGCTGTACGCCACAGCGACTGAGTTGAGTACAATTAGAATCCTTTTTTCCTCTCGTCACAAAATCGAGTTTCGCCGTAATGTGGCCGACGTTCGTTTCGTGCTTCACTTAATCCTTTCATTTTTCTTACCGTCAGTCTTTGATTGCAGAACGAAAATTACAGAACGATTTAGCCTACCTATGTGATAGAAATGTAGACGATATTCTGAGACGCAATACAGCGAATCTTCGCAACGACTTTCCGGTACACCTTTTCGTTGATATTTACATCTTCAAAGATAATAAACAATTTGAAAATTGTTTTTATATCTACATAGAAACTTTTTATTTGTAATATTTTTATGCAATAATGAAAATTAAATTCAAATTAATTTTTATCTTAACAAGATTAAGAAATTGAATTTGAAATTGTATCGTGACTAAAAATATAGGAAGAAAACACTTTGAAATATAAAAATAATTCTGAATCACTCTAATATACAGATACCGATAAAGAAGTTTCGGAACGACTTGAAGATCTGAAAGGAGAATTATTTTTCTGCGTACGAGAAGTTGTTGCCATTATGAGTCAGACAACCGATGTAGACATTTAAGTAGTCGCGCTCGAGATTTCTCGGACGAAGAAATAAACGACGACACGCTAAGATACAACATTTCATGTTATGCACGATAGAGATACAATGTCGTAACGATAAAATCTCCTTATGATCGTCGTCCGAGCGTCACAGAGGATTCGTAAGAACCGGCATTCGTAAATCCGCACTTCGTAAACCGTTTCTGAAGCTGCTGTGCGCGACCGCAAACGGTAAACGCGACAGTAAACGCGGGAATACGACAAGGAAATTTATTTTGCGACACGTGAAAGCAGCGCGTGCTGCGCGTGCAGCATAAAAACGCGAGCTTCCTTGAAAACTTAGTCGAACGATCGTGAATAGAACTCTTTCGAAAGGTACACTAAACCTGAAAAGTTTTAAATCGCCGAAGAAAATCTCTGCTCCATAAAACTTCAACAACTACGATATAATATTATATAATATAACAATACTGTACATCGTACAGGTATATTTCTCAAGTTTTAACTTTCGTAATAAACTTTTAAATAAATTTAAAGCAGACTTTTTTTTTCTACATTGATACTTGAAGATAGATTCGCAATGCCTGAATTACAAAATCGGCTGAGAATAATGGCTTAAATTAAAGCTATTGTGTCACTGAAATTTATATTTTACTTCTTTCGGAATTTCTCAATTCGCGGCTCAATTACTGAGACGTTTGACACGGAATATTAAATCTACTACTCATTTCTTGCCTTTTGGATCTGGACTTTTTGAAGGATCTGTTCCCGGTGGCTCGACCGACTGGGGTTGACTACGAGGTGTTTACACACTGCACTGTCAGACTATACGTTCATATGGGATGCTCTGAGTTATTTCTGTCGCAAAGAATAACGAGCCTACGAGATTCCAAATTGCCGTGAAAGTATCACGTGGGAGCCCTCGATCTTTCTCTCTCTCTCTCTGTCTCTCTCTTCCTCTCCGACGATCAAATTTTCATCGCTGCGATCCGGTCCGAAACGATCGTTCGACCCGAACACAAAAATGCCGCGTAAAAGCTTTTTTCCTTCGCATCAACCAATCTGTCGGCCGTCGACCGTAATAACGAGCGAAAGAATTAATCGTCAACGGTAGCCTTACGAGTCGACCGATGATTCATTTCTAACTCGGCAATCGTGCGTTTTTCTTGGAGTCTTTCCCCGTTCCATCAGACCGTTGACAGGTCGGACGTACTCGAAAAATCAGTCGAGGCAAGTCGCGTAGAGCAGCAAAGGCTGCCTGGTGCTGGCCGTTTCACGAGCGGCTTACTTTTGCGCACTTTTGCTTACGTCGCGACTGTGAGAAGTTACTAAAAAATAAATTAAGCTTAATAGAAATGTGATTGACCTGGATTTTTTTATAAATGATTTTTTAGCAGAAGAAAATATAAGAGTTTGAGTGATTACTTTTCGATGAGAAATCGGTTGTGTGAAACTGTGTTGTGTGAAATATTTGTTACCGTATCAATATTTACTACTTGTCGTAAGAGACAAATGATTAAAAACTGTATGAATATCAAATACTTCCAAGGAAGATAAATTACGAAAGATATCTCATACTTCGAAATGACAAAGAAATATAAATGGACAAGAAAATAAGTTTGACAGGTATTGTATCTAGGACAAAGGACTCAACGTTGACAATGGCAAATGATAAGTAATGAACGATTTTCGTATTAAAAGAAAGTCAACTCTTAAGATCGTTAAAAAAAAAATCTGTTAAATATATATTTCACAATGAGTCCTAAATGATGTCAAATCTGTGATACCACCATAAATACGTAAAAGGGCTTCAGTGTACTTCCGAGAGAGCATGTCGCATGCGGTCGTCACAACGAAATGATTCATGAGCCGTCGCGAAGACGTACGATCCAGGAGGGATCCACGGCTGTGTCCTCGCGCCAACCAAGGTAACCCGCTTTCAAGGGCAAAACGATAGCATCGCAACCCAAGTTTAAATTGGAGGGTCGGCCGCTTAAGATTCAGTTCTATAAACTTGAAAGTTCAGTCCCACTTCCAAGATGGAAGGCAAATCGAGGGAGGCCGAGCGCCGCGAGAAAGGAAGGGTGGGTCACGAGAGGAAGGAACAGCGAACTTCCGAAGACGAGGCTTACGAAAGCTTGACGCTGCAATTAGGCAAGCATTTTCGATTGAATTCAATTAGCCGCCTCCGTGGCCTCGTCGCGAATCCGGATTGCTTCAGCGGAGTGACTTCTGTGCGCGCGCGGTGGAATATTTGGCTTGTATTGTATTCCCGGCGTTTCCTAAAGTATACGAGAATTGCAAATGGAGACCATCTCGTTAGCATTCCTCGTGAGGCATCTAAGTACATCTCCACTTCATTTTATTACTATTATTAGACATTCCTACCTAAAGAGGATAACCTGACCGTGTCCCATGTGACTTCTTTTATTGCGCGCGTTTTATATTCATTCGTTTAATATTCTGCGGTGAGAAGCGAGATAGTATCTGCATAATTTATATACGAGTAACTTGTTGCAGAATTATGCATTAATTCCGATAGAAAGACTAGCTAAAAAAATATTTTCTTAGAAAAAAGTTAAGTCCTAAATAATAACATAAGCGTCATCAATGAATCACAATCAGAAGACAATTTTAAAATACATTTTTTCATTAAAAAAAAAAAAAAACATTAAATACATTTTTTTTAAATAATTGCAAATTTAAATGTTTTCTTCATATTATTTATGTATGTACGCTATATTAGCTCTTTTCTTTATGTCGTTCATTACGTAAATTATTATAGATTTTAAATATAATTATTAGCATTTCTCCTGTGCTGGATTAAAGGCAAGATGTTATTGGCAACAAACATGGGTCCTCATCTAAAACTTGATATATTTCCATTTTTAGCCAGAAGCGAAATATCGACGAAACATGTCGCATTATGAATAAACGAAGCGCATACGAAGCATCTCGCTTAATTGGACACGACTCGTTCCGAATGAAAAGCCCGAGAATGGCGCGCGGCACCCACGTCGGAACCATCCTCTTCGTTACGTCCGACATGTTTTCCATCGATGACGGATATATCGGGGTCTCGGACGTTTGCCCTCGAGCAGAATTTTACAGTGAAAAGAAAGAAAAAAAAATACCAACGAAACTTGACGAGCAATAATTAAAAAACTGTTGAATCGAACACCGGGAAACGATCCAGTTAACGATCGCGTTCGCAAAATTAAATCTTCGCGTCGCATCTGTGCGAGCAACTCGCATCCGGTGCATGCTAGCGGCGACTGCGCGTAAATCATTCGCAACGTGCATTCGAAACCACAGTGTGCTACACGCGTTTCCGCGCGGCACTTACGCACTGCGAGACGCGCCGCAACGAGAAGCCGCGACGATGCACGTGTTAACGTCACGCCGGTAAATGCGTCGGCGACACGTGTCGCGCATGTAATCCATGGGCCCGTCGTTACCCCGGCTGTATGTCATGAACACCATTGACATGTTCTACACAGTGTTTCCCGGGTTAATCGCTATCTCCTTAAACGGTATGCCCTTTAACAGATATAGACTGGATCTTTGCTTAAGCTAAACTTATTAGTGTCAGAATAAAGTTTGATAAGTTTACCAAAAATAATCGTATATCTCTTTCAGTGTTGTAAATATGATAATCTATTATACCTTCATATAATTAATCTTTAAATCACATTTCAGTTAAAATAAAATTGTTATTGAATAACAAATAAAATATTAATTTCAGATTTTCAGAAAATGTAGAGATAATTTGAATAATTGATATTCACGAAGACAGTAAAATTTTATAATCAAATATCGAAAGTTACATTGTATATGTGAATTCTTCATTAAAACAGCTAGCTATTTCGTTAACTATTTCCAATTTTAATAAATGTTAAACCAATTGTTTTCGATGTTAAAAAATTAATGAACAAATTTAGCATAAATATATATCGACAAATTCTGATGTCTTAATTTTCTTCCAGGAAGTAGCAGTGCATAGTTACGTATGCCCATTACGGAGGACAAACAAAACGGAAGTTTCAGCTCCATTTCAAACAATACAGCGATGTAAATGTAAGTGAGGAGATTTCCCTTTAATATGAAAAGACGTCGATAGCACAAATCATTCCGTGAACAGCAACCCGTCATCGCTTCGCTTAATAATAACACGCCCCGTCATCGATTCCATTCCAACGCAGCCGATCATTCGAATCGAGATTTCGAATTGCGGGAGGTCTGTCTCGCGTCGACCTTCGAGCGAAACGCCGCGTTACACCGAAAGTAACCGGCCCGGAAATCGTTAAAATTGTGCACACGCCGGCTGGCCGATAACATCCCGATCTTGCACTTCACGGTGCAAATTCGATTTTTGCACGAGGCGTCACGGTCGCTACATCGTTTACGTTTCACGCCACGCAGATATGCTTGTGAGAGGAGGGCGGACCTGCTTTGTACGCAATATCATCATATAGCGTGAGTGGATACAAAAAATTTTAAATCCTGCATCAGGTAATGCACTAAAAAAGTTTCAAAATACATGAAAAGTTTATTTGAAAGGAGGGTAGCAATTTTCGAGGGTTTTCCGATCACTCGAGGATCGTTTTTTTTTTATTTGTATGTTTTCTTGTGATTTTTCTTCGTATAGAAACCGAAAATAATCACTATAATAAAGTCAGGCTAAAGGAAAAATTGGTACATTGAAATAAAATGATCCCCGAGTGATCGGAAAATCCTCGAAAATTTCTACCCTCCTTTCAAATTTCAATGAATTTTCTTAATTTAGAAAGTTTTGTATTCAAAGAAATAAATAAAAAGTAAACAACTTTCTTTATATATTTTAAAAAGAAAATATTTTTCAGTACTTAACCATATTTAAAATTAAAACATATAACATAACATCACAATTCAAGACTTATTAATTTAAATTATAGTACAGCAGCGTACAGTACTGATAATAGCTATCAAATGTTGAGTGAAATAAATTTCAATCAAATGTTCAATTAATATAACCAAAATAATTTCTCAATGTTCAATTAATATATTCAAAATAATATCTTTCTAAATATGTATTTAGTAGTTATTACCAGACGTTAATTATATTATTATATTTATTATATTATTATATGTTAATTATATTATTATATTATTATATTTTGTAGTATTCATTAATATTTAAAAAATCAAATTATTTTCAGTTATATTAACTAATCATTTGAATAAAATGTTATTTTACTCAATAATTGAAAGCTACTAGACTTTTTTTCAATGTAATATCCCGCATGTTATAATTTAACTATCTAGCTATGTATTGAAATTCGCGATTGCGATTATTTGGTATTAACAGATTGCGTATCGAAATCCATGTGTGGTTTATATCGAGGATTATATCGGTATACCGATATGTGCGAAACGCGTAGCAGCTAAACGCGTATCCGTCGAACGGACCGGAAATCGTTAAAATTACACGGCCGCCAGGTGGTCGATAGGTAAAATATAGCACTTCTCTCTCTGAAAAAAGCACTTCATGAGTGAGATCAGGATCTATTCTAATCGCGAGTAGAGAGGTGCGAAAAATTTATTCGAACAATAAAATAATTATATAAATATTACATTCATATGTAAAAGCTTATATAGCTCTGTTTTCACTAATATTTCATATATTTAAATAAATTGTCAAATATCAGAAATATTTTATTAAAACATTATGAATTGTCGCAGCCTTTTTTCATTAAACTTCAACATTCAATTCCTTTTTCCAAACGATAGATTAAAAAATACATAGTCGCACAATTAAGATTATGTATATTACGTATATTTGATAACACATCTATTCTTCGGCAAAAACATTAAAAGAATAGCATTGCCGAAAAGATGACGTTAAAGTACTTAGGACGAATATATATTTCGTCTTAACACCGTGCAAAGTGCAAACGTGGCAACAGAGAGGATAGGAGAAAGACGTCCTCATTAATCCTTCCGGCTTTATCCGGTCGCGCTTGGCACGTATCTTAAAGGTCCTCGCAGAAGTTGTGATAAATGTCATGCAAATGTGCGCCTCTTAACGAGCCCTAAGTTTTTGCCCGGCAGTGCGAAAACTTTTGTACTGTTAAAGTTCATGTTACAAAGGAGATACATCGCCCCCCGCCATTCTGTCGCGTCGTCATGCTTAAAAGAGCGTAATTGTTGCACGTAACTTCTGGGGTCTCTCTTACGTCGTCGTTTCACATCAAAGACCTCTCGCGTCCTATCTTGTTAAATTGTGAACCCGCAAACAACATACGTCAACAGAACGTTTCACACATAAGCATTTTATTTTGCAAAATCTACGTCGGCGCTTTGCATACGACGTATTTGTTTATAAATAGTTCTATCATCTGACGCTGCGCCCCAAGAAATTCATTAATCATCCGTACAAGTAAAACTAGTTTAATTAAACAGAACTGGTCTATTTGCGACGGACAATAAAATTAATTTTGAATAAATTTAGTTAGATAATAGTAGTATATAAAATTATCAAATATTCTTTCTTTAATTCGCTGAAATGTTTGATACTAAAACATTTCGTAAGATAAATTTACATTAAAATTAAATTATCGATGTTTCAAATTGTTATAAAAATACAAATACGATAAGAATCTCAATCATTTTCGAGAAATTTTAAATAAAAACTGCAGAAATAAATTTTCTTTATATAGATATAAAATTATATAGATAATTCGTTTCGTAAGTAATTTTCGCCGACAAATACAACGTTAATTTTCGTGTTAGACATAAGTCATGAATCATCTGTTATTTGGAATGTGTTCAAATCGAATATCTGCTCAAGTCACACGTCAGTGTGTCTGAAAAAACACTGTTTTGACTACTCTGATTTCGCGATCTTCGTATATTTATATACGTTTTCGTGTAATATTACCTTTTTCAGAATGATATATTATGAACGAAAGAGAAAAGTTTCGTCTTTGTCATTTACCTTTTTATCATTTTCTTTCAACGTTAATTAAAAGGATCAACTTCGTTAAGAAAGTCCGCAGACGTATGACGAAGTGTAAAGTTTTTTCGCTCTTTTTCTAATTATCGCGTGAGGTAGCCCAAAGATAATTACAAGTTTCTAATGCAAACACGAGAAGATCGTTATTTGTACAACAATGGAAAGAAAAGAAGCTAACTTAATGAAAAAAAGATCAAAGAAGTAAGAAAATACAAAGCTAGATATTGATGCCTGATGTTTCTGCATAAATTTTAAATCTGTTAGTTATAAAAAAAAACTGCAAACCGATTACTGTCGGACTTAAAACGCAATCACAAAACTGAAGCTAAAATAATATGATATTTGCTAATGATGTCTATACTAGTATCTAGAAACACTATAAAAAACTTATTAGAAAAAATATTGCTTCACCCAAATCTAGAATCTTCTGACTATTCAAGGCGCATATCTTTTTCAATTCACAATACATTTAAAATAATACTTTTACATCTGTCGTTATAAAATACACATTTTATATTTTAATACCTCGTTATAGCTTTTAATTTATTAATTTTAATTAATTCTTCTCGTTTATGAAACTATTGAATTTTATTCTTTCCGCCGGTATAATTTTCTACATATTTAAGTCAATTTTTCTTAAAATATGATAAACTTCTATTTTTTCTTCATACTTTTCTCTCCTTCTTGCTTTCTCTTTGTGTCTATTTTCAGAACAAGGCAACAACAGGATCGAGGATACACTTGCTTTATTACATCATCCTCTTTGATGCCATTCTCTAGACTTTGAATGTCGTAAGAAGAGCGGGCAAGAATGAGAGAGAAACAGAGGAAACTCTGAGAGAGCAACATCACGAAAAAAAGTGTCTTTCAAAGCGGATACTCGTTTCCTCCTACACATAAGAGCGAAATGTTTTACCATTCCGCGCATTTACTCGAACACGCGTATCGGATAGTCCGCGTTCTACGATACAAGAAGCAATCCTCTAAGCGAAGCTGTCGAGATTTTAAATCACGTACAATATCCTGCAAAACTTCCTTCAAGTATCCTTCATGATTTCTTTTGCGACCAAAATCTCACCAAATAAAACCTTTCTTCGCAATAGTTCTTACAATATCAATACATTGCAATGCTTAGACAAAATAGATTTCACTATTCACTATAGTGTTCAAAAATATTAATTATATGATTGTAATTATAAATATAAATTATATGACTATATTATTTTATAATTATATAATTATTATTATATATATATATAATTTCTAATATATATATTTTTTTTCAGATAATAGGAACAGAAATAATCATCTTCAATAATCAGGTCAAAGAATGTGCAGAATTCATAGAAGAAAAACGCTACAAAATTTAAGAAGTCGACTAATCATTGAAATTACATACTTCGATCTCCGCAACCGTTTCGAGCCTTTCCTTCAAACTCCGAAGCATTTTTCAAGGACCAACGAATCTTCAAGTAACAGAGGCATTACGCATCATCATATATAGATAATCGCTTCACACACTGCGAGACATTACGTATCGCAACTGCTCATCGTTCTCGCGAGAACAACTTTTCCGCGACTACACGGACGCGTCCCACCGGATAGGAAAGAGACTAGATACTGTGATAGAAGCTAGAAGTTCAAGCTGCAACTTTAAGTCCCTCGTGAATAATCGCTGGCGATTTCCTAGGGGCGAAAATCTCTACATTCATAACGGTGCGCGGTATTCAACCGATGACTGCCACAGCCGGCCGAAAGATTGCAGAAAATCCACCCGAGCGACGAGATAAATTCCCTCGCGTGTACCTCGTGGACGTGCAAAACAAATTTAAAAAAGAAAGAAGAATAGAACGAACGAGTAAGAGAAAGAGGGAGAAGTAAAAGAAAAACACAAGAACGGGCGCTTAAAAGTAAGAGAGGTGGTCGCCTGAGCACGCTGATAAACGCTGAATAATGGGGACGCAAATTACGTGCGAGGAATACTGCGTGAGAAATGAGTGCCCGATGCAAATTCCGCTGGCCGCTAGGACGATGCAGCGACCGGTGCTGCCGGATACTGTAACTCCATTTAAACGATTCACTACGACCACGTGGACCGAGGATAGGCTCACGAAACGAACCGGCAGTCCATCGTCGTCTCCGTGACGATCTGAGAGAGGATGTACGTAATCCCCGGAGGAATTAACCAATTAGTACTGGCAGTAGAGGATTTGCGCTAAGTTAATACAACGACGAGTGTCAACACAACGGAGATCGTAGATAGATTACGTTACTCGCCAGCAACGATAGCTCTCGACTCCGTTCTCGCAATATGGACCAAGGTACGTAATCCGCAGGATACTACAACGCGTTATAGCCTTCATGAAGCATACGCGAAATTTTCGACGGATTACTCCTCGACAACTCAATGGCTTTTAACCTTGGTTTCACGATGCAACAGCGTGGCGATATTAAGTCTGTATAGACTACATGATATCACGAGTCAGTGTACAAACTTTGCAGTACTACAAACCAGCATGCACAGTCTTCACAATAGGGAGTGACTCGGCAAGTAGAGTACCTGTTCGGTCCCTCCGGCATCAATTACACTTCGCTTCCCGGATTTGTTCCCGGGATTGACGCAGGCAGACTCCTCGCCGACGAAGTGACTGTGCGATTATTCGAGGAACGTACGTTCGGCTTTAAACGGAAGAAATGGCTTCACGCCGCGTTGCCCTGAAGATCCAGCGTGTCGGCGCGAGTGCGCACCTTTAATCGTTACAGTGCGGAATTGTAATAAAATTAATATATGTATAATATTATAAAAACTAATTTCCCGTTATTATACAAGTTGATACGGGATTAAGACATGCGTGTTAAATGGCTACAAGTGATCTTTCAGTGAAGATAAGGTTTAACGATAAAGAGAATTTGGTATCAGGTTTAATAATGATATACGTATGTAATAATATAAAAAATTTTTAACACTTTTAGATAATATAATTTTGCGAATTGCTATACAAAGATTATAATAACAAAAATTCCTATCGTTAAATGACAGAAAGTTATTAGGTGTTCAATACGATAAGATTCACCGTGAAATAAGAAAACTACCGAGGAATTGCGAACGCTTCGAAGTGAGATGTTTCATGATACAATATATAAAGAATGAAGATAAACACTTTGAAACGAATCGTCGGATTTGCCTACGCGATAAAAAGAACGTCGAGTGGTTAAGTCATAGGCTGCACTCGTCAAATCCGACAAGCGTGAAACCTTTACGCTCGGAACTTTCTTCAAGTAACGCCGAAGATCAAACGGAGGATCAAATAGTTACGAGGAACGAGAGTATATCTCGCGAAAGTTTCTCGAGAGCAGAGAGGGAACAAGGGAGAGTCGCGTGGTGCTCTCCTCTCAAGAGGCCGCGCGCATGGCGCAGCCGATCATCGCGGACAATCGGTCACTCGTCGCGATCCGCTCTTTGTGATACACCACGCAACACCGTTCGCGAAATAGGAGGAAGACAAGTGACGCAAAAGGAACAAGATGATGGCGGGAACCGGAGTGGGTGGTGTCGGTGGAGTAGGGATGCTGAGGACCAGGCGGCGGGACATCAGTGTCAAGCCAAATAGAAAACTCGATCGGAAGTCCTCGAGGGGGATGATTTACGAGAACGAGGAGCTCAGACTGAGGACCATTCACATCAACGCCGAGGTGGAGCAAGGTAAAGGGAGAGGGATTCAAGGGGAGGCGCGCAGATTTGTCGATGAATCGAAGGTGAAGGAAATCGCGACTGTGTGTCGTTTCGAAAGGACAATGTCGCGATTACTTCTTCTTTCCTTCGACTCGATCGACTTGATCCCAGTTAATAAAAATGTTCGCAACGGACACAAGTGGGATAAAATGATTTTCAATACGAAAAGAGAGATAAAAAATCGTTTCCAACTTTTTTCTCTTCCGACAAAGAGATATGTATGTTGAATTTAGTGGCTAGAAATTCCGTTATGAAACAAAGTTAGACACACGAAGCTGTTATCTGAATTTTTTGCATCTTGTTAGTATAACACTGTTACTTTATTCAGCTTATATTTATTACTTACGCCGTTTCATTTTTTTTCCCTCTTGTCCAGAATGTTTTAAGCGAATTTTATTAACGCAGTTGCTCTGAACGCTACTGTCTGAATTATTAATTTACCGTTATAGACGATTCACACTCGGGGGCCAAATTAATTTCGCAGGGACTTCCATTACGCGTTAGTGGCAGGCCAGACCAACTAATAATGTTAAATATTTGATCCTCTAGGGTATGACTGCGCCAAAGCAATCAAGGATTAATTTAACTACCGTGCTAAAGGAATTTTTGATATGTTATAGGAAGAGCAAGAGTTTCGAACTTTTGTTATTCTATTAAAGTCAACAAATATCGCGATTAAAAAAGAAGCTAATATCTTGACGATATACACGTTTTATTACGATACATTTACTGTAATAAAAAAGTTAATCCTAAATTTATCAAAAAATATCTTAGAAATTTAATTAAACCACCCTTCCGTAGAAATTATTACTTTCTCTCTTTCTCTCTTTTCTTCTCCTTGCAAATACTCTATAGAATTAATTATTTGAGTATTTTTGTACTTTACTAGCAGATGTTTTAATAAACTCGTTTGGCGCAATTGTGCTCTCTGAAATTGAGGGTCGTTTTATATATAAATGAATACCATTAATCTCGCGAATCTCACTACCATCGCTTTAATTATGAATTCGTCATTACGAGTGATACCAAACAAAAGGTCAAATATATTTCATATACGTGACAAACCACGGGGAATTTTATTGCGCGACTGTGGTAGATGCTGGTAAACTGCATCGCGCCGCGGTCATCTACAAATAGACGCGTGCATACATCAGATTGAAGTCGCCGTACGAACTTACTGCGAACTATTTTCGAGGCCTGGCCTGCACACGCTGAATTTGTCCAGTCGGGTAAGCGAGTAGTACAGTTTCTAGTACCGGCGGTCACGATTCAGCAGACTTGACTCAGTTGCTAAATGCGCTTGAGATAGATGACGCAAAACGCATTCGCGCTCCAGTTTCTAAAGAAACGTTCGCTTTCATCGCGTGACATCAATTTAATCTAACAAACGATAAAAAAAAAGTAGTGTCTCGATAAATCAAGAGAAGGAGAACTTTACCAGTGATTTATTATAACTGAACGTGAACAACGACGAATCCACGTGGTTGATTGAGTTAATCGGTAATTTTATAAGCTATGAAAATTTAAAATTACTAGTCAAATAATAGTTTAAAAAAGGACCTGAATCGTTTGAAAGTGAAACGCCAATTGTGGAATTATTGAGGATTCTAACATGGAAAAGCTCGCAAGAGGCTGTCATTGACTGCTTGATTAATCACATTTCTTCGACGTTGCTCGATTAACAAAATGGTGGGTATAATCGTCTAGCTTTCATTAAGTATTAGATATGTTTTAATTAAACTTCAGGAATGAAATTGCGAACGAATATGCAAATATCGCGAGTGAGTACGATGTTAATACAAAAAAATTTGAATGACGACACATGAATCGCGCGTCTACGTAATTTTCTCGAGATTTATTTACCCGCGGAGCCAAGAAAAGCTTTGTTTTGGCAAATATTCCGGGATGGCGGGTTTGTTCTCTTAGAACTCGAGATCCAGATGTCGACGCTGTATAGATTCCAAAGACCTGAACGCTAACTTCTTATCCTACGTAATACCGTTGAGACGTCAAACTGATCTCGACTTCAGTCTTCCATCGATGGAGCAATCAGTGACTTAAATATTTTGAAATGCTTCAAGTATTAATAAACGTTTGAGTCAAGCCATAAATGAATAAACATGATAACTAAAAATGTATTTCGGGCAATGACGCATAAATTTCGACATATTTAACGTTATAAAATAATAATCACAATAATTTTACAGTTTCTCTCTATATTTATATCATTATAGCTATTATTTTCATGAATAATTATTCCTTAATAATTTTTTAATTAAAACAGAAACAAAATTGCAAGTATTTATAATATATACGCGTTTAAACGTTTTAAAAAATTTTATTATTTATTTAAAGCCGCGAGCAAAGTACAAATTTTATATATTATATAATTACAGTTTTATAATTTGAAAGCTGAAAATTATAAACACTTAGGATCACTTTAAAAAATTATATACACTTTAGGATCACCCAGTACATATAAATACAAAAAGTATGTCAAACACTCTCGTCGAATCAGGATAGCGTCTCACGAGTTTTTTTGTTCCTTCTAACACATTATGCAACCGGATTATCATGGCGCATTCAAGTGGCGTGCAAAGAAAATTCTTCACGATTAGAAAAACTGACAGCACGCCGAGAGGGTTCAAAGTGAGTCGTTCTAGGATCAATCTACCGGTTACTTGGACCCTTTCTTTTCTACTCCCGTCTCATGGTCGCTCGATGGGAAAACCAGACACCTACGTCAAGCTTGGAGATTATTTTGAGTCCTTTTTCAACCTCTTGATAGATTATATCTCCGCGTGAAGAAATGGCGCCAGTCTAATGAACAATTTATCATCGGCCAGGTTTGCACCGACACCGAATTTCTTCAATATCAAAAAATATCGCGCCACTGTCGGACTTCAAAACTGATGATATTAAACATAAGAACTGGCAGTGTCACTTCTCATGACAAATGATATTAAATCGTGGAAAATAAATTGTCGAAGAAAATGGACGGAGCCAAAAATGCGTTCGAGAACGTAATCGCTAAAAGAATCTGTGTTTGACATTCGTATAGATTAAATGATATCATGTTTTAACGTTTATATATATAGTGCAGCTTTACAATGAATGCGAACGTATAAACTTAAATAATATATGGACTTGTCAGGGAGAGATTTTTTTCTCGGTCAGAACTATAGCTTTTACATAATATCGCGGTCAAGGCAAATAATAAAATAGCAAAATTTATAAGATCGTCCCCCGGCAACGTTTCTAAAATAACATCAAAAGACATAATAATCAGTGCTGGAATACTCGGGTATCGCCTAATATTGTTAGATAAGATAAAAATTGTTATACATATCTCTGAAAACTCTTAGCAACAATATCTTAAATTTATACAATATATACATTCCGCAAATTTTCAAAAAATTGTACTCTACAAAACTGATTCGAAAATATTTCTTTCTCTTTCGTTAACAATTGGCATCTTTTATCAGTCATTTCTACGTATTCTATTTCGACAAAATTGCTAAAAAATAATCCTAAAGTCTTTGATAGTATAAAATTATGCTCTATATATTTCCGTATAAAATGTATCAATAAAAACAATAAAATTTATCACTTGAACATTATGTGCAATTATAAAACAATACTTTGTTACAATATTTGTATTCAAATTATTTCTTCTGTCAATCAAGAATTTTGAGAGAAAAAAAAATGAATCGTTGGTGTATCCAACTCTGGCGCGGCGATACAGTCCTGACATCGCGGGACCACGAGGGACTACAAAAGATTTAAATAGTCACAAGGGCGAGAGAGAGACAGAGAGAGACTTGAGGCGGTGGTTTCGTGACGCGCGCGATGAAGAAGCGGATGAAGAAGAGGTAACTCGCGGTAGGGATAAAGACAGTGATGTAGCCACGCGTCGACTAGTTTCGT